GTAGCAGTCTTAACGGAGTCCAGCAGGTACAAGTGTACAAATCCTCTTAAGTTTGACTCTTTTCTTGAGACCCTATGCATACAGTCAATACAAATGCAAAGTCTGCGGGGCTATTCAGTCAAAACTTCCATTGGTCTTCACTACCACTGGTTACAATTATTGTTAGCCAATGTCTGCAAACTTTTTCGTCTACTTCACACAACTAATCTTTAACTAGCGTATCTGAAATTCGATTTACACTATGTTCTGCATAGAAAAACCTTTACCACCAACTACATCAGCGATAAATATCAGTCTTTTCTAAACAAGCTCTTAAAATATGCAACAGACTTGTTTTTCTTCACGATATGTTATGAATAATTAGCTACTCCATGCACTAAAAAAATTTGCCTTTACTGTAGGTATCGGTAGAAGAGTAGCAATAAGAATTTTTGAAAGAGTAAAAAGCAATTCTTTTCAGACATTAAACTTCTCTTGTTTTTCATTCCTTCTTATGTCGTAGCACTACTAATTGAAGTTTTACATGGCTTTCTATGGAGACTATTCAATCGTTGAAATCCTGTTTTGTAACATGTGTTTCATAATTACACTTCGTTGTTAAAGTTGAGAGACTAAACAGAAAACATAATTGATGTTTTTCTCTTGTTTTGATAGAACATCACATCTTTAACTTTATCGTACATGACTGCTACTTCAATGGCGAATGCTTCTTTTCTTGGCATCCCTGTTGAATTAGTCCATCACATATTTGACTATTGCGATACTGACACTATTCTTCGTTCGATTCGCTCGATCTGCCGGCAAATGTATGCTATTGTTAGCACTTATGATCGATTTGAGCTCATTTTGAATTCGAAATCACTTCTTAGCATAAAGACATTTGTTCAGTTTATTCGACCAGAGAGTGTCATCTCATTAACGATCTCTCATGACTGTTGGAGAGATGAGTCAGTTGACCGACTTACGACGCTATTGTATTACCATCGATTTACTCGATTACGTTCGTTGAGTATTCATCGAATGCATAAGAATTTGAAGCATCTCTTACAAATTTTGAATACCGAGTCTTTAGTCTCTCGATCGGCAGAATCAAGCAAGGACAAGCATAGCAGAATATGGACTCTAGTCTCGTCAGTATTTCATCGAAGTAATCGTCAAAAATTATGCCTTAGTGATGTGCCTTACTCAGTAAATATGGGGTGTCCAGATCCATGGAAATTAGAGCATCTAACAATCGATAGTTGCAACTACGACGAATATTTGGTCATTCTCCGCTGGTTATCTCATTTACGCACTCTCGTCATTCAAGATTACACTGTAGGCGATACGGATAATACGTTGATTTCATCCGCAGCATCTATATTTCATCCTTCATTGAAATCTTTGACCATCACTGCTTGTTCACTTTGTACTCAACACTTCGAGTTGTTACTTTCATCAATAGTGTCACTTCGACATCTCAAACTTATTTCAAAGAAGAAAACATTTGACTCTATGTTTGATGCCTTTTATTGGGAACAACTCATTTGTAGTAAACTGTCAAACTTAAATAGACTTGAATTCTTGTTCTCTTATGAATATAAAGAAAGCGATGATTTCATCAGTCTCGAGTCACTCATCGTTGCATTTAGAACTCAATTCTGGATTGAAACTAAGCGCTGGTTTGTCACCTGTGCATACATTCCAAGATCACATGAGATCTGGCTACACACAACACCTATTAACATCATTGGTAACAAGGAACTAGTCAGATGTGAAGTATCGTGGATAGACAATAAATGTCGTCTCACCGAACGGCCATTATCCAGACCAGTTGGCAACACTTCAGATGAGGTATGTGACAGAATCTGTTTGAAATCAGAAGTGATCATTGTATCAGAGCTGAGCACGTATGAATACAGCGAAAATCATACTCGAGAACGAGAATTTTTGATATGATCACTTCGGACATGTGCTCAATGCCGTGAGAACATACATATCGAATACAAATGGTTACAGTTTTGCGTAACACCGAGAGCAGAAGAAATTAACTATGTGGTTGATCTTCGAAGAAAATAAATAGGTACTCTGTGTCACTAGAATATAACACTTTTTATCTAAAGAACGAGAGCGGATATGGTCGTTTTCTTTTATGTTGAAATCAATTCGTTGGGGATACATGATAACATTGCAGAGGTTTATTTCACAATATTTCTCGATCATTTATTCGAGCCATACTTGCACTCCTATACGAGGTCAACAAAAACTTGATTATTCTTCGAGAGGATGCCAGTGTAATTTGGAAAATAGATCGAGTGACGTTGTGAAATGAATATTTGCAATGGTTATCAGATACAACCGCTGGATTGATTTCAGGAGAAAAAAAATGAAAAGTGCTATGAGCAGAAAATGACCTTATCCATCTTCATATTTTATAGTATACTTGATACTCAAGTACATTTACGAGTATCAATCTTTCAAGCACGATCTCTTCGAGTATTGTGTTCAAGTCTGCATGATATCGTGTGCTTTCGAAGCTTTTGTGTAACTTTGCTTCTGAGGTTCTGTAGAATCTCTTCAAAAATCAGCAAGAATGTCGGCGAACTTTGTATGATTACTGATTGAGATCATAATTATTGATCAGCTATAAGTTCTTGTGGAAGATTTTCTAGACTATCCTAAATTGACTCCTACTTCNTTGTAACAATCTTTGAACAGATCTTGGTTATAGACTTATTTGATACGGCTAAGATATATGCATCCAAAATATCTTTTTAAGATCTTGCTTACAAGATGTTCAACTATGGAACGTCTCTGCTTATATTCTGTTATTTCTCCATGTAGAAAAACTCGAGACCAATTTATTGTGAATATTCATTGTTAAATAGTATAGTTAAAATATTCTTAAGAATTTTTAATAGGAGATCAATCAATTGTTTTACTTCAAACTAATATAAAGTATTGGATGATCTTGTTTTCATTTTCTTTCAATTAGAAAATAAGATGCTTGTTGTCTATCATACATGATTGATATTTTACCTAATGATATTTCATACTTGTCTATAAGAATGATTTTACTGTCACAAATGATTAATATAAAATTTAATCCATGAATTACATAATGGATGATGAAATCTTGATTTATTATTGACAGGTTGACTGCAGATTAACTAATGCAAACTGGATTAGTGAAGATGAACTACTAACGATTACTATTCGGCAAAGTAGATTTGAACCAAAAACTTTGTTTTCTATATTCTTTGGTTCTGTTCTCATACATAGTATAGATCAATACAAGACTATCAATCACACGTATTATATTGGAAATTGCCCCAAGCATATTGTCAATGAAATATGCAAACAAAGAAAGTCATCAGGTGCAAAACTTCTCAAATTGTTTTGTGGCAATACTTGATCTAAAAGTCACACAGATGTTATTAATTAGTATTTGACACAAAAGAAGTATCAATATCAGACACATCCACCGTTTTCACCAGATATAGTGAAATGTGATTTTTGACTAAATGATTATATCAAGTGTAATTTAATTAATAAAACAAATGAAAAATCATTGGTGTATTTGATTTCCAAAATAATTAAAAATATTTCAGAAGAGTCTAAAAAAGGTTCAGTAAATCGTTACAAAAAGGATGGAACTTTGTGTAAATAATTACAGCGAATATTTTAAACATTTATATCTCTCTATTTTTGTGTTGTTGTTTAATGTTATTAGACTTTCTCGTGTCATCCCTAAGTATATTTCTTAGGTGAAATTAAAGTTTCTTCTTTTGGACCATCCAGGGTACCTGTTGAACACGAAATAGTTGGTATTAAATAATATTTTTAATTTCTATTCAATATAATTATTGATTAATTTAATACTATAGAAAATATGCCTTACTGATTTTACTCAATAATATTAACTTAAAGTAACATCAGTGTATAAGTAAGATATATTATTATATTTTGCGTGTGTGTTCAAAAAACTGATTTTTTTTTCTTTTATTCTTTTTTTTCATGCTCTTATGTTGTATTACACAAGAAGAAAAACAAAGTAATGATGGATTACAAAATAATGGTAAATGATGATAATAGTACCAGTTTTCAATTGCTTAGTTCTTGTAAGCACGGCTAGCTCGTCGGCCACGAGCTTTTTCGAATTTACGACCTTTCGAACGAACTTTTGGTTTTGTCGTACTATGACGAGCACCAGGTGGCCGACCTTAAAAAAATTACAAAAAAAAAACACTTTCCACAAAAAAAAACAATAAAACTCATAAACATACCGAAGAATCGATTAGCTTTACGAGCTTTTCTTGGACCTTGTAATAAAACTGTATTTTTACCCTTTGGTGAACGAAGTGCTAATTGATCGAATGTCATAATTTCACCACCAGCTGCAAGAATTCTTGCTCGTACACGTTCAGTGAGATGTAAAGCACAAACTGTTAATTTAGGTACTTCATAAAGTCGTACATCATCAGTAATTGAACCGACAACAACGGCTGTTTTATTTTCACGACCTTCAAAAGATATTTAAAAGAAAAAAAAAATAACTCTTATATTTAATATGTAATTTAATTTATTGAATTAAAACAATACCTTTCTTTTTCATATGTCGAACAAGACGTGATAATGAAAGTGGTGGTCGATTTGTATTCGACATAAATAAACGTTTTAATAAAATTTTATTAAATTTTGAACCTGTACGACGTGCCAAAAAACGATAGAGTTTAACAAGTAAGAGTAAATATAAATTTTTTGAACGTGGAGCTCGGCGTACTGCCTTACGATCAAAACGATGGTCGAGATCAACACCCATTATAACGGTCGAATGTTATAAAATTTGAAGAAGGAAAAGATCTACAAGAAAAACAAAACAAAGTATCGGAAAATATTATCAAAAAACAAGAACAAAAGATTTTGTGCTTTGGATATGGAAGGAAATAATAAATGAGTCATACTAAAGGATGAAAAAGAAAAACAGAGAATTAAGTTGTATAAATTGGACGATAACTAGCTTATAATTGATCAGATGATAAATGTTCGGCAGCAAGAGTTGTTTTTTTATCATCTGTTAAGGTATCTAGCGAATTTTCATTATGTTTATTAGTTATTACAATTGATTGATCATTTTTACTGGACGAAACTAATAATTCCATATGACATTGACGGATTTTATCCATCGATTGATAAAGACGTTTCATTTGAGAATTTATTTGAGTTGATGTATATTGTGGTCGTAGAAGAGATTTAGCTAATATTTGTTTATCCTATGAAGAAAAAAAAAAAAGAAGTTTATCAAAATAGAGAAAATTTCAATGTAATTCCATACAGCATGGAGAAATTCAAAATAAAGTGCGCCTTGTCGCTGTGGTTGTGGATCGAATAACCATGAATTATTGTTATTATTTGTATCTCCACCTTCTTTCAATTCATTCAGAATCATATCAGCCAAATTGCAATAGAATGAAAGAAAACGAAGAAGAATCTGTTCTGATTTCGGTGATTGATCTATTTTAGATGTAAATAAATTCATTATTGGTTTAAGTTCAATGCCCTTCAACAAAAACAGAACATACGAAATTTATTTAAAAAAAAAACAAAAACAAAAATCATATTTTTACGGTTATTTTCAGTAAACTTTCAAGATTTAATTTATTTGTTGACAAATTAACAAGAATTTTTCCTGATGATAATGCTTCATCATCATATTTAATTGTCGATTCGATTAATAAACCAAGTTCATATATATTACTCATATATTCTTCATGAAGATATTCAAGAACACTCATATTTATAAGTAAAGTAAGTCCATTAAGACGTACAAGTGAATTTGATGGACTTGTACGACATAATTTAATTACAATAGAAACAATACTCTACAAAAATAACATAAGTTTAATTAAAAAACAAATAAACATATTAAATTATAATAATAAAATCTTACCGAAAATTGAGTAATAGCAAAATCATTTAGAGCGAGATTATTAAGAGCTAGAAATATTTTACATTTTGTTATTTCATTATCTGTTTTTAAAAGCAATTCACGAAGACGAGTAATACAACCAGCATTTGCTAAATTTATTTGACCTATACAGAATATTAAAAATTGTAAAAAACAAAATTTTATTTATAAAATAAAACAAAATTTACTTTCTTTAAAAGTTGATGCATTGGCAATGCTCGTTAAAACACAATGTAATTGTTGTTCTTCATCATCATTAGATTCATAAAGAAAACGAGTAAGAATAGAAGCTTGATCAGGTGTTAATGGAACACTACCATCAGGAATTGGTGTTTCATCTTTAAAGTTTAATTCGTAGTTTAGATGTATCTATACCTTAAAAAAACTAAATTCATAATTACTAAGAAATTCTGTTGATTCTGAATCATCATTATCAATTTCTGATGGTGATGTCATGTCCACATATTGATAATCATTATAGGGCTTTAACGATGAAAGAATTAGTATAGGTGTGATAGGACGACTTGTTTTCGATGCTGAATAATACAAAAATTAAAGTAAATTAGTAAAAATATGAATTTTAAGTATAATCTTTACATTCAATTTGTCGTTGATGACGGTAGAATAGATAAAGACCTATACCGGTGCAAACACCAACTGATACACCCAAACCGATATAGAGTTTTTGTCGATTGGGCATTGTATCAACAACTGACACCGGAGTTGAAGACTGATCATTATGAAGCTGTTTCAATTTGAAAAAATAAATAATAAACAAACTAGTTATTCCATATATTACCGAATCATATGAGGAGAAAAAAACGCATACTTTTACTTGCCTCTTGCTTCGACGTATATATAGATGTCGCTAACAGACAATAGAAAGATGCTTCTTAAAAGTATACTTCGTCTAACAGTACTACAAAGCTTCAATTATCCAATCGTCGGTACATCTGCGCTGCCTAATATGAAAATTTGTTGTATACATGCTGAGCACATGTGGTTTATAGGATGATTATCAAGTGTCTACTCAGATCGTAATGTATTACTTGTTATAATACTATGAATTGTCGTCGAAATTATTGGTATCTTATCACTTCAATATATTCATTGGCTCCTAAAGTTTATTCAATTTTTTCCAGTATTGTTAACTTAGAGTGCTGCAAGACGATTCGTTTTGGTTTGAGGTTTTTCAGAGATTCTATGCTCGGAACCCTAACAATCATTTTTATTTTGAAAAATTTGTATTGGAAACAAGATTCTCTACACTAATCATCACTTGGATTCTTATTAGCATTTACGACAGTAAAAATAAATCTGGCTGAATAGTTTTGGGAACTATTATATATCCTATACAAAAAAGTTAAATAATTTCAAATCTAATTTTTATAACGTACAAGAAAATGATTTACCTCTATTCATAGTTTGTCAAACTTTTTATTTAACTATGCATGAATTACTACTGCGAATTACGAAGTATTATTATTTGGTTAAAAACATCTAAAAAATAGATCACTTAATCGAGAAATATGATATATTGAATGATAAATGATTTGTGTAACATCATTCTCTAAGCTAAATATTCGAAGATTTCGAAATTAAACTGCAATATACAGAAATAATTAATAGTGATCACTAGATTATTTTTGCATGCTTATTATTGAAACTTTCAAAACCGAAGTGAGTGTTGTTCATAACGTTGTTCTTTGCATCGTGCATGATTCTAGAAGTTTCAAAGATTTCTATGAAATCCTTTGTTCGTCAAAACTTGGCATCTTAAACTCGCTTCAATCTATGAATCTTACGATTCTTGTGTTACGAAGAAACAGTAGCGATCGAAATGTATAAGACATATCTCATGTAGCATGTTTGTTCGCACTACAGCTGGTGTACTGCTCAGATTAATCATTTCGGTCGTCTGAAACAATGCCTTAAATTGTTTAAAACGTTGAAGAAATGGCACAATTATTGCCTTCAACGATTTTTATCTTTTATCGTGACGTAAACGGCACCGTTTAGGAACGGTTTCGTAAAGAAAAAATGGTATATAGTATTACAACTGTCTTTTCATCGTATACTCTCCTATTTACATTATACAAATCATTTCATCACATAAATAGAATAATCATACCTACTGTAAGTTAAAGTACCATTAAATATTTTTTCAAATAAAGCATTTCTCTAATAAAGAAAAATATAATTTCGAGGATGTACTTTTTAACAAGTAACTCTCTACAGTTGGTTCTAAACATTTACAAGTTCTTGTTCCAATATACGGTGGAGATCATCATTGAAACTTGATAAACGTCCTAATAGGCATCTACAATATAGAAGTATAAAGTCTATCATCTATAGAATTTATCTATGAAAAGGATAACGAACAAAGAATATGCGAAGATGTATTTATTTACTCGATAACACAAAACTAATGTTATGTCAATCATTGTTTGGCACACCATAGAGACGTTTTGTCGAGCACACAATCATATCGTCAAATAGATTTCAACAAAATCTATCCATGAATGCTTAAATTAGCTCCAAAAAAATTAATTGGGACCTCACATCAACAAATGAAAGTAAGAAAAAAAAGATTAAAGTGTATTTTAATCTCAGTAAAACACTAGATATCGTAAGTAGAATCATTAAGACTTATTTATTAAACATCACTATATATATTTTCTCATGATGTTTAGAGTGTAATTTTTGATTGTGTGTGAAAATGGGGTAAAGCTGGTGATTGTAATAATGGTCGCTTTCGCCGAGACGTAAGCGATCATCAAAACTGTAGCCGTTTTTGAATAGTTTACAGCCTGTTTTACTCGACCTGAGCAGTGATTTTCGTCCAGTTACAACCTCAAAGGATCACCATTGTGTTCTTGATGTGACAGATTAAAAGTACATTTAGAACTCAAATTTCACGAAAATTCATTTTTGATAAAAAAGAGCGAAAGATGTCGCTGAAACATAAGCAAAACTTGATGGATGTATGAAACCAACCAGTGATAGTGTGACGTATACTTATTTTTTAAAGAATAACTAGTGATAAAAGATGTACATTTAAACAGAATTAAATATTTTATATTAATAAATGCTATGTTATTATAGTTATAGTCTAAGGCATGATTAAAATCATGTTTAATCTTATTTTTTTATGCTAATTGTTGATTATTAGACACAATTTTTTGACAGATTATGCTGTCAATTTTATTTGAATTATTTCTTATTACGATTAACTTTATACCATTATCATCATCTATGAATATATTAAAAGAATCTTTATTTTCTTCATCTAATAAAAGAAAACTTAAAAGATCTAGTCGAAATCTATTAGGAAAATATAAATTTCGTCAAGCAAATAATTCTTTAACTGATCCACTTTTATATACTTTTGAAAATGCTAATATTGAATTAGAAACAATTATTTCTGAAGACGAATCAAAACCAAATGATGAACATATTGTTCGTACTCGTTGTTCAAAACAAAATTTAACACCATCGGCACATAATGGTGGCTCAATTGTTATTATTGAAAAACCTATATTACCGAATGAAACAATTCAAGCATTTGCTATACGACATCGTGTACCTGTATATTTCATTTACTCGTTTTGTTTAAAAAAAAACTTAGTTTTATTTCTTTTTCTTTCAGCTTTTCCAATTAAAACGTATAAATAATTTACAAAATGATCAAGATTTTTATGCATTAACATGTTGTCGTGTCCCTGTACGTCGTTTTGGTTTACTTCATGAATATTCCGAATCATCATCATCATCATCATCAACCATTGTTGATTCAAATGAACAATCAACAATTTCATTACCGGTTACACATCTTTCTCAACAAAATCATCTCGCTTTTCTCAATGCTATGGATCAAGACTTAGCATCAATGCGTGCTAATGTCGAACGGTTAATTGAAGTATCATCAACAACAACATTAATTTCTAATCAATTAACATCACCATCATTAGTAAAAAGTATGGTAAAACCAGTAAGAAATACAACTACTCAATTAAATTGTGATGAAGCTGATTGTGGTTGTAGATTTTGGCATATTATTATAATTGTTATTCTTATTGCTCTTATACCATTGGTTTGGGTGTATTTTTATATCAAAAAATAATCACAGTAATTAAAGAGTTATGATCTTGTTTCTTTCTTTCTCGTTTTTTTTTTTGTTATTCTGTTTATCAAAAATCAAATATATTTATATGAGTGATGCACTTAGCATTTCAATTTTGTTCCATTGGAATTAGTTCATGATATTTACACTTCAAAAATTAATAGCACTCGAAATTTAATGTAGAAAACGAATCGGAAACTTAAAAATAATTTTACTCGCCTTTAAAATTCAATAGAAGAAATATTTTGATTTTCAATATGAAGACAGATCAGTTTTGCTCAATATGTTTCTTGTTTCGAATAAGCAAATTACTAATATATGTAAAAAATAATAATAAGAACAATGCGTACTTACAGAATAGATGATTGAAAACTTATTTTTAGAGAATTGTAGCTGAGAGACTCGGACTCGATACATGGCATATTATGTAGAACGTATTCTTTCTATCGATTGTAATACATAATTTGAGTATGTCTATAGGGGTAAATATTATTCGTTAGCGATTTGACTTTGCAAAATGGAAAGATGTATATCTCGGCATAGTAAATTTTTCTCTAGCTAATTTTTGTATGTTTTATTTATGTTAAGTTATTCTACATACTCTAAAAAAGCCAGTGCTAGAGTCCTTTGTTCAGAGAAGCTATTAGCAAAAAATTAGCGTTAGCAATGCAGCACAAAAAAAAACTTAGAATCGCGGCGGTATTTTTGAAAAATTAAATACTACATTCTTTAGCAGGGTTGTCGATTGTTTTTGGGAGTGGGGGGGGGATAAAAATTTGGCAGAAAGTCAATTTTTTTACAGTTTTTAGTTCACCGAGAATTCTTTTAAGAGTAACAAAAAAGATCATGTTTGTCAAAAAGTGAAGGCACTTCCAAATATATTTAAACTTTCAAAAAATAAAGACACTTTAATGTGCAGGCAATTCAAACTTCAATTTAATTTTTTTTTCTCCTTTTTTTTACATCATTTGATAGAGCGTGGGCCGCTGATCAACAAAAACCACTTTTTAGCATCAGTAAATGCTTTTTTCAGGTCGAAAAATACGAAAAACTTGAACGACGTCGTTTTTTTTCGAAAAATATCTTTTTCAAGATATTCAAAATTTTCGGCTTCATTCTTTTTTCCAGCTTCTAAAGATATTTTTTTCATATTCAGCATAAAAAACTGAGTAAAGACAAGTTGTTACATCGAATCCAATCTTGAAAAGTTTTTGATGATGGCGCTTCGAATCGCGCCCAGTGCAATACCTGTAGGTCGATTTTGTAAGCCTATCTAGTTTTTTTACGTAAGAAATGAAGTCAAATATTTTATCTCATTTAACTCATGATACCACCTGTTACAAAAGTATGTATCGCGTTTTTTTCTTTTCTTTGTTGAGAAAAACCTGTTTTTCTGAATTTTGGGCTAAAGAGATTGAATTTGGCCCATATTTCTCCATAAAAACTAAGCTTCCCTGCAATAATCTTATCATATTCGGAATCAGTACGAAAAACTGAATCGATTGATATATCCTTTGACCTTTTCCATTGACTTCAGTTTTTTCAGTTTTCGGAGAAGATCTGGCTGAAATTTTCACCAAAAAAATTAAAGGTAACGAAATTTTTCGAAACATACATCAATCGATTTAGTTTTTCGCGGTGCTTCCGAATATGATAAGATTATTGCATGAAAGTTTTGTTTTTATGAAGAAAATGGAGAAACACGAGCCAAATTCAATCTATTTAGTCCAAAATTCAGAAAAACAGGTTCTTCTCGACAAAGAAAAGAAAAGAAAAAAAAACGCAATACATACATTTGTAATTGGTGATATGATAAGTTAAACGAGATAAAATATTTGACTTCATGTCTTTCGTAAAAAACTAGATAGGCTTACAAAATTGGTCTATACGTATTGCACTCGGCGAGATTCGAAGCGCCATCATCAAAAAATTTTCGAGATTGGAGTAAATCTAACAACTTGTCTTCACTCAGTTTTTTATGCGGAATTTGAAAAAAATATCCCCAGAAGTTGGAAAAAAGAACGAAGCAGAAAAGTTTGCACATTTTGAAAAGATCTGTTTTTCATAAAAAAACGACATCCTTAGAGTTTTTCGAATCTTCGACCCGGAAGAAGCATTTTCTGGCGCTAAAAAGTGGGTTTTCACGATCAGTAGCTCACACTCTATCAAATGATGTAAAAGAAAGGTGAAAAAAAAATTTTGCCTGAAATTCGCATTGCCGGCACTTTATATATAACATATTTATTGTTCACTGTGCCGCTGACGAATGGGTTCGTTGAAATATAAATTATTTTGAATAAAATAAGTTCAATTCACTTTTACACGTCGTATATTCGACACCGATGGAATCGCAACCCGATAATGAGCAGTAAAGCAGACCGAAGTTCACCAAAAATTTTTAGGCAAAGAGCACATATGAGCTTTCTGCCAAAGGAAAGTATCCTGAAGTTGATTTTCTGCGGGAATCTTGCAGAAAATATATTCTTGATGCTAACTATCTATTTTTGCCAGAAAGAGGGATAATATGACTCAACTGTTCGCATTGCTACCACTAATCAATAAGTATACATGCATCGCGGAGAGGAAATCTTGAGAAATTCATCTTTTTAAATTTTATTTATATATAGGTTGTACGAAAGCGAGAAAAAATATTTTTCAGGAGAAAAATGCAAAAATACAGTGGAAAAAAAATTGGCTGAAACGATCCGAATTTAGCGGGGGGAAATTGCCTCCCATCCCCCCCTAATCGGCAAGCCTGCATTAGACTTGTGCAAGGTAAAGTATTTTTCTACCATGTAATTTGACTGAAATCAATATTTCTACATCTTGCCTTATCGTACAGGGTAGAGTAGAGTAACTATACACTTGTATACCCTCGGGGCTTTACAAACATGGTGAAAAATCGAAGTCAAGGTGACCTCTGATTTCGTTTAATAGTCATAGGGCTCGAAAAGATAACAATATTGGTTTATACAGTGAATATCAAAGAATAAAAAATATTATTCAAAAATAGCCTCTGATGTTCAATATGATTTATTTGTGAGAGATTTAGTTGACATCGATATGAGTCTCTATTCGACATTCATTTATCGTAGATTGATTTCTAAAACATCCTACTCTTTAACCTACAAGATTGTTTTGTTAAGTTTTATTCCGTAGTTTAACTTCAACTTATTTCCCTCTGGATTCAAAATTTTATTTAGAAAAAAAAATAAGAATAACGGGTATAAAGCGCGGAGAAAAACAACAGAGATCGAGCGAATGCACACACAAATGCCATAAGATCAAAACCAAAGTAATGGGGGCGATAATAATAGTGCCGAGGGACAGAATCTTTTAATTTCAGTTCATTTTTTTTATAGAAGAAATATGGCTATTATTTTTGTACTACAGTTTTTTGCAAACTGTGTAATAATTGAGCGAATTAAAGAAGAAAAACAAAAAAAAAATTAATATTGATCAAATAAGACTAGATTCTATTTCGCCAGCCGTCGATTTTTTTAAAATTTTCTTTTATATTGCTAACCTACAACAAAGAAAAAGGATTACAAAATAAAAAACGAATAAAATTAAACTTACGGATTCTTTTTTTTTATTCAAAAGTAGTTGCTGTTTCAAGTGGACGATCATGAGAAGAATTAAGATTTGTAGAAGAAGATAAACTATAATATGAATATACAATAATTTTCATAGTATATTATTTTTCTTTTATTTATACTTACGGTGAATCACTATGACCATTAGTAGTATTATTTATTCCTGAATCTTGTTGATCATTATCATCATCATCATCATCGTCTGATAAATCACTTCGAGTTGTCGATTGAATTGTTGCTGTTTCTTCATCAATCAAACTTTCATTCATTATTTGTGATGTTGTCATATTCGATTGTATAAGATTATCCGATGATTTTGTACTTCGAGCTTTATTAAGGAGACTTTGTATTAATGGAGATTTAAATCTAAATTTCAAAATTTTTCTATACTAATTAAATACAGAAGAAAAAAACGAAGTTTTTACTTTGATGATTCAGGTGTTGTTGGATCATTATTATTTAGAAAATTATCATTTGATACTGAAATTGGAAAACGATTATCAGATATGGAATGAGTCATTGGGGATTGTTGTTTTTCATGTCCGTTTGTTTCATCAATATTAGTTTTACTAATATTGTTTTCCGGCTATAATAAAAATAATGAATGAATATTTTATTAAATTTGAATTAAAATAATTTACTTTTAAACTTGGTGAATCTTGTCTTGTACGTCTCATAATCAAATCTAAACGTCTTTTTCTTTCATTTCTTTCTTCTTCTTCTTTCTTTGCTCGTTCTTGTCTTTCACGATTGAGACGTTCAGTTTCTTCAGCTTGTTTTCTTTCTAATTCTTCACGTTGTTGTTGTAAACGTTGTTCTTCTTGACGTTTTAATTCATTTTCACGTTCACGTTCTTCAATAGCACGTTGTAAACGCTCTTTTTCAGCAAGACGTTGTTCTTCAACAAGACGAATTTGTTCTTGTTCACGTTCATATTCTTCTAATTCTAATTGACGTTTTCGTTCTTCTTCACGTTGACGTTCAAGTTCCATACGTTGTTGAGCTTCACGAATTTTTTGATTTAATTTACGTTGATATTCTTGTTCTTCAATAATTTGTTGTTCACGTTTCGAAGTTGAAGTCGTTGTTGGATTTATTATTTCAGTAACAGTATCAATATTAATTGGTTCAATAACAGAAGTTGTTGGTTCAATTTCAGTAGAAATTTTTTGTTGTGGTTCTTCTTTTTCTTTTTCTTGAGTATCTTCATTGACTGATAAATTTTCTTCATCAGTATCTTTGGATATTGTTTCAATATCTTTAAATATTGTTTCAATATCTTTCGATATTGTTTCAGTATCTTTGGATATTGTTTCAGTATCTTTGGTTGATATTTCATTATTAGATGTTTCGACAGATGAGATTGGTTCTGTTTTAGGTTTTTGTTTTGATGGTGGTACACCACCAATACGACGTATATTTTTTTTATTTGTTGTTGTTGTTGCTGTCGTCGCAGATGAAATTGAAGATGATGAATGTGATGGAGTTATTAGAGAACGTTGCATAGGTTGTTTTGAACGAGAAGACGATAAAGATGTTGGAGGTTTTGATGAAAGTGGTATTGGAAGTTTTGGATGACTGCCAGTACGATGTGATGATTGTCTAACTGATGATGATATTTGATGATGTTCAGATGTTGATTCAACAGTTGGTGATGCTCGAGAATCATTATTTAACGAACTTTGAAGAGGTGACGCAGTAGCTGGACGAGAATAAATAGGCTAAAAATATACATTTATTGTTTTATAGATTCAATATTTATCCATTGATAAAATACAGCGTGGCCAAAATGTCATACAATTGAAAGAAAATATGAATATCGTCGCCGTGTTTTTTATGAAATGGGATAATCTTTTTCAACACTAATCAAGGTGTATTCATAATTTATATTCAACAAAAACTGGTTTGAAATGTCACCATTGATCTAAATACACTTTAGGAGTGCTGACAAAAAAAACAATCTATTTTAATGGCCAAAATCAACACATTGTTGCACATTACGCACTCAAATTTTCAGTCCTAAACAATGAGAATTTATTTAAAAAAAGTTGTCTGTATCCCGTGCAGAGATGTGCGGCACTAAATTCTTTTGATTCCAGTATAGAGAAAACTATTTCAAAATTTAGTCGTATTACATCTGCAATAATTCTTCAATATTCATTTTTTTCTCTTCGTTTATTTAGTTGACGACGAGCACTTTTTTGGATTATATCTTTTGAATTATGTTCTGATTCATTGGATGTATGAGATAATTTACTTAAAACCATAGAATATGTTACTATAATGCTTGAGTTCCAGTTCTAGTAAATTTCTATGTCGTAATCGCGTATGTTCTTATATAGCTTAGAAGAAATTTTCTTGTGATTGTTATCTCGCTATCATTGTTGATTTACTTTAAATTTTAAAAGGTCAAAGATATTCTCACCTTCAAACTATTTCAACAGCTAACTAAACATTATCGAAGAATTTAAATATAGTAAGAAATGAGAAGAAGATAAGAATAATAACGAATTTAGGTTTTAGCTGCACAAGAGTACATGTGATACATTTGTAGTTTTCTTAACAGAGTTCCCTATATTTATAACTGAAATTTCAGAACACACTGAGAAACAAAATATGTGTCTCTAGTATAAATATAAGATCAAACAGTTAATGAATGTAATGTTGATTTCCACTATGAGGATATGTTGTTATTTTTTCATAAGTATAAAAAAAAAATAACTGTTTTCAATTGAAATCAACAGTGAGACTTCAAAACATTTTTTGTTGTATTGGAAGAATTAGCTCATGTAATCAAAATACGGTAGAGATATCGAACTTTTTCTTTGTACAATGACTTCTAGGCTATCTTTTAATTATTTGATATTAAACCTACTCTTCGAGTTTTCGAAGAAATTGATGTTGAAGTTGAAGAATTATTTGTAGTCATAGGTGGAGTAGATACACGAAATTGATGACTCGATTGTGATGAAGGTATACCATTTGTTATTGTCGATGATGGTGATGCTGTTGTACCACTATTAATTGATTGACTTGTTGAAATAGTTTTTGGTTTCGAAAGTCTAAGAATAGTTTCATTTAAATGTTGTCGATTAATACTTTGTATTCGACGTTGTGATTCACTATTTGTCGTTGTTGTATTATTCGTTAAATCATCTCGAACTATAAAATGAAAACAAAACAAGAACGGAACATTTTATTTTTTTCTTAAGATTAACTTGTTCAAATGAAAGCAAAGCAATTAGCACACGCACACACACATAAACGATTGAAAGAAGCCCATGCGCACACATATTTTATACGTATAAGCTTGAAAACAGAAGAAAATACCTCTACAAGCTCGAGGACATCGTTCAACACTACGACTAACACGTGATCGACACGTAGCCGCATATGTTAAACGCATAAAACTGGCATTCATATTATTATTGTTATCACCGGTATTTAACCAATATGTATATGATGTTGGCATCGGTCGTGTTCGACTATGTGCCACGGTACGAGGTGTACCTGACAATGAATTATCTTCATTTGTCATTGTTGCATCATATGAATGACGCGGTCGATGATGATATCGATGTTCATCAATCGGATTAAGTTGACGAGAACTGGTGACAGCTACAAGTGTAGAGGGAGAAAGAAAAAACAAGAGGTATTCTACATATATATATATGAATCTCTTATGGATAATAACATTCTTTGATGAAAAGTACAAAGAAAAAAAGAATTATATAAACTTACTAGTTGAATTATCACCATTATCTTGAGATAGTGTAGAGATGGGAGAATCGTTTGATCTTCGTCGATTTGCCATATCTAATCAAATTATATTTAATAGGCATTTTCTAGATTTGTTTTTCATTGAAAATTAAAAAAAATTACCGTGTTGATTTGTACGTATACGTGGTGCTGATGTAGCTCGTCGAGTTGAAACTATATCTGAAGACATACTCATAACAGAATCGGGTCTATGCGAAGCATTTCCTCTAAACAAATAAAAGTACTTGATATTTATTGTCAAATTACAAACGTTTTTCTTTCTTTTACCTTAAATTGACTTTTATTTGTGAATGACTTCTTTGTTGCCGTTCTTTTTCTCGACGTAATATTTCCTCAATTTTAACCTTGATATAAAATAATTAATTTTACTAATAAAAAGAAAGAAAAATACTAAATTACATACTTTAGTTTCTTCTTCACGTTTTTTTCGTCTTTCTTCAACTTGTGACCGATGACCAGTATCACGATTACGTAATTCTAACCACTTTTTTACTTTTTCTAAATGCTGTTGTTGCCTAAAAATATACCAATAACGACCTTGATAAAAACAAAAACATAATAACATATAATATTCAGTATTGAGTTCATTAGCAAGCGAGTGCATTTAGATTTTTTTCTTCTTCTGTCATTTGCATATTAACTATATACAACATTTCTCTGACTCGCGCATTTTTTCTATTTTGTCGACATCGATTGATAAAAAAAAAAGAATGAGACACTACTGTTTTTCTTTTTTCTTGCCAGCTGACTCTACCTACCCAAAACAAGAAAAGAAAAGAGTCTATTTCACACATACTATGCATCTATTTGATAATCGTCACTCTCTTTTCTATCATTCTTTTTCTTTCTTCGAACCTCTGGTTGTACATGCCTATTAGATGCAAGAGAGTATAGCTTTCGTGTTGTTGTCTGAGTCCAAGAAGAAGAAATGTCAAGCTTGTATTAATAGCTATTATAAGCAAAACATATTATCTATGAGTAAGTCCATAGCTACCACAAACAGATTTGTACATAGAAGGAATCAATCGCAAGATGAGCAAACGTAATAATCACAACAATAATATAAAGGAAAAAAACAACGACGTCAAGTGTGTATCGTTTTATAACCTACGCAAAATAAACGATTGGTAATATTTATTCACTCTTTCATTATCTCTCTATTTTTCGGCTTTATTTTTTTTCCTTTTTTTCTTTTTTTCCTTTTCATTGAGTCATTAAAAAAAAAGAATCGTTCTATTAATTGACATCTCATCTGTCAGAAGACTATCATCAGTTATTGTTAATAATACTTACCATTTTTGTTCTTTTTTTCTCATCTGTTCTTGAAATCGTTGTAAACGTAATACTTCAGCTTCTTCTTTTTTTTGTTTTACTAATTTAATATGTTCATCTATATTAACAGACCGAGCACCTAAAATTAATTTTATTAATAAATAGTTAATTTAATTAATTATTTTGTTTTTCTGTATAACTTGCCATTTGTTGATGATTTTAATATACTATTCATTCTCGAATTAACCATTGTTATTGAAGAGTTTTGTTGAAGTTTTTCATTATTATCTGGTTCATCAATAATTAATGAATCTTGAGACATACTATCTATCAAAAAGAGAAATAAAATCTATTTATTGTGCCATTTTATTACCAATCATAATAATAATCACGCAATTATCATATACACAAAAAGAATTCTCAAGACACAATTGACTCATTTTCAATGCAGATAGAAAGAAAGAAAGAAAAAAAAAACGTAAGAATGAACAAAAAGAAAAAAAAGGCAACAAAAGAACATTTTATATATTCAACAAGTATCGCCTCCACTATAACGATCATATTGAGTTATATAAATCGATCGTTGAGGTTGATCATCATCGATACTATAAATTGATTTTCCGCCACCATCATAATCATAAATACTTTCCGTTGTATGAAAATTATTTCCTGTATCATTCACATAATATTCACTTGAATGATAGTCACCACCTTGTAATGATAATGATTGTTGACGACGTGTCATTGTATTTGTTGATGTACTTGATATTGAGTTTGGATTATTTGATGATGATGAAAATAATAATTTACTAGCTTCACAACAAAATAATAATGCAATATTAATATTTATTTTTAAACGTCGAATAAAACCCGATTGTTTTAATTTAAGACAATAAAGTAAAAGAATAAAAATTGTAATAGAAATCATAAGAAGACACATAATAAGAAATTTTTTTTTTGATATTTTATATCCAGATTTTTCTTCATTAGATAGAATTGAAGCTTGAATTGAATTCATAAATGTTTCATTATTAAAAGATAAAAATTGTTCTGATGATGATGATAAAGAATTAACACCAGCCATTGATAATATACGTGACCATTCATCATCATCATTATTATTATTAAATATCGGAGGTGTATCTATTGTTGTAGATTCAATTAAGATTGTTGTAGATGTTATCATTTTCTTTGTTTTTGATTTCAATGACTTTATTATACTATTTGTTGTTAAAGGTTTTTCTTCATCTTCTTCAACTTCATTTTCATTATTCATTACTGTAGTTTCTGTTTCATCGTTATTATTAATCAATGAAACATCTGTATCGTCATCTATTTCATGATTATTTAGTTCATTTTCTGATATTGATGGATGCCGAATAAGATCAAGACGACTTAATTTTAGTCCGTGTGACATATTAATTGTAGTTATTTTACGTTTACGTGTTGTCATTGGTAATGTTGTACGCATTGTTGTTGTACGTCTAGCCCAATTACAAATAATTTGTACATAATGATCGCTCTTTACAGGACTTGCTTTTAATTCAAAATAGAAAAATAATTCAGAAAGTGGATCATTTCGAACGTAATTTAGTGTGAAATTATGTGAACCTGAACCGAATAATGCATTACCATTTGATGGTAAATTATCCATACATTTACGTTCCGATCGATCAGTACTAATTTCTAGATAAGTTGTACTTCTACAATCAGTATTTGAATTTTTCGTTGATCTTAAATCTTTTAAATTTGCAAATTGTCGATTTATTTCTCTTGCATGAAGTAAAACTTGTCCATTTGATAATGATGAACGTACTTTACATTGACATTCATTATATTGTTTTCCTTGAGAACGTGTATGACTTAAATGAATAACTGTTCCTTCATCTTTCCAACTATCACAAATATCTTTTGCATCAAGTACACAACCAAAATTAACTTGTACATAATTAAAATCTGAACAAGCTGGCACACCATGTGTAGTTATCGTTGTTGAAAGTATTTCATTTTTAGTTAAATTAATCAAACATGTTTGTTTACCATTACATGAAAGAATATTGTGATTTGAACCTTCTTGTATACAATCATATATACTAAATTGACATTGATTTATTGATCGTTGTTTTGAATAACCATATATAACACGAATTATTTCAATATGTTCATATAATGAACAGCGAAGACGTAATTGAACTAGATTAGGTTCTTTAAGACAAGCACTTTCAAAATGTAAAGTTTCAACCGTAGCATTGATTACATGGAACACATAAAGAAAAACTAACAGATGGAACATATCTACAACCATTGTTGAATAATAGTTGTATCTATGTAAGTTAAGATAGACAATGACAACACAGTTATGTTTGTCATTTGTCGACAGTCGACGACGATGACGAGACAAGATCGGTATATTGACAAATAGATGAACATCAGAAGAAGTAGACAACAGTTAGTTAATCGCGAATAAGAATACGACAAAACACTTTCACGTAAGCAGAAAAAAAACGAAACTCAATCTTTTGACGACAATAGTTATGTAAGAATATAGAAAATGAAATAACATAATTCAAAAAAACAAAAGATATTTTACTAAAAAACCTATTTCTTAAATAATAATCTTATGTAGATGTTTTACTTACGAATTAATTCACCTTGTTCTTCATCTTGGACAACATTCGTATCGATTAAAGATGTTACATCAGTTGTTGATTCACTATCTGAGATCGGATATGTATCTTTATATAGAATAAAAGAAATTGAGTAGGTATATTCAAGGTGAATATAAGTTTACCTCCTTGAATGATTGTTGTCATCGATGGTATCATCTCTTCGTTTTCATCATCTAATAAAAAATTATCAGTAAAATAAAAAAGAGAAAAATGAAAATTTCTAAATATTTTTACTTTGATGATCATTATTTATTGAATTATCTTTTTCAAAAACAAAAAAAAAACAAATCATCTTAAATGAATTTTTTTTTATTTCATTTACCTTGATTATCCATCGTTCCAATCCCTAAACTTTGCTATCATTAGTAAATCAAAGACAACATTTCTTTCTTTTTCTTTTATGCTTCACTCGTTCTATTCTTTTTGTCCTCTGTTCAATAGTAAAAGAAAAAGCGTGTCACTTTTTACCTATATATAATCTAGAATCAAAAAAAAAAGGAAGAAGAAAGAACGAATAAAAGGGAAGCGAACATTGGCATCCACAACACAATGTGCCTCATCGTCTTTTGTGTGCTTTGGCGAGAAAAAAAAGAAAAAAAAAAACGATTCCATCTCAATAGTCCTGATATACTATTAAGAGTGTGGCACCAGGAGAAAAGAACGAAGTAAAAAAAAGAGTGGTAACAACGTTGGTAGACACAAATTTAAACTTGAATGCACATTCAATGTTATTGTTAAGAGTGACAGAAAATCAATTAGAATGAACTTTTTTTCACACGTGTCTCACAATGACCATTGGTCATAATGTCTGGCTTTTGTCTTTAAATGTGTAGTGAATAGACGACATCAAGAGAGCTTAATGCATATGCATTATGACAAAGATCAAACATACGTAAATTAAAGTACACTAATGATATATTTTTTTGTATGATGAAAAAAAAAAAGAATTCATAATAGGCATATAACTTATCCGATTATACTAATCCTTCACTTGATATTGCGATTTCTATTCGATAAGATTTGAAAAACTTTTTTTTCGTTATAATAATATAATCATTGTCAGTTGTTTTTATCAATGAAATTTTCGAACAACTGACTATGTATCTATGTATCAATAGAATATTTATTTATCAAGTAACGAAACACCGATAGGCGATTAGACATGTGTCAAATAAGAATTTTAGATATTAAAAGAAATGGATGTTTGTTTAGCAGGTGCTCAATCGTGAATATGGGGAAGCATAAAAGTTAGTGCTTCTCACCATCAAAAAATGTTCCATCTTCTGACATTATACAATATCAGAAGGCGGAACATCAATATTAAGGTCATCATCCTAAGCAATAAAACACAATAACTACCTACTAAATGAATATCAATAATTCATAAAAATTAATATACGTCAAACAAATGATTTTCTTTCAGAAAAAATACAATCGAAATTACTTACATGAACGTAAGGATAAAATCGTCCTCAACAATCACAATACATGACAGGTGAAAGAGGAAAAAAAAGGCCTTCACTCCATACTCTCTATTACTGTGAAGAAGAAATTCTGTGTTTTTTTGTTTTGCACAAGATTAAAGAAAGAGTAAAGAACCTTAATTTAAATCGAATGTTTTTCTTCATCCATTCTATCAAAAATAAAACTGTACGGCATCAATTTTCATCGACTTGATTGAAGACTTGAAAATGTTATTCTTTCACATAAACAAAATCTACTAGAGATTTATTAACTGAATAAAATAAAAGCTTGAAAAAATAATTTCACATCTTTTGATTTCTTTTTCAAGCGTATTAGACGAATTCAAATTTTAAACTGTAATAAAATTATGATTGATTTAAAAATTATAACACACTTATTTTTCTATCACTCATTAAGAAACATATTTATTTATAAATTATCAATCGATAATAAATTGATATTGAAATTCTTTTTTTCTATTTAGTAGAATATAATAATCTAAATGCGAAAATCCATTGATAATAAATATTCAAATTCAATCAATCCTAGAGAGATTTTCAAGATGCATCGTTCAACACAAAACATATCTTAGATCTAAAAGTTAAACTGACAAAATATTTATAATCATATATTTAAAAAAATAATTTTTTTTATAAATATCTTTAAAATTGTTAATACATACTACAATTTTCTTCTAACTAATCATTAACATTAATAAATAAAAGGAAAAAAAAACAAATTTCGTGTTTATCAGATTTATCAATCTAATATTCAAATGATATATTTTCTAACAAATCTAATATATGTAGATGATGATTAGAAGACATTTAATCTTATTTATCAATAATGATACTGCTTCCATCTGAAGAATAATGTTTGATTGGTGTAAATTTATTGGCTAATAAAAAAACAACCTAAGTTTCTTTCTTTCTTTCTTGCTTAATTCAAAAAATAAGTCGTCGCTGTTTCTTTACCAATTAGTTGGTTTACAATGGCTAATCGAACGGTAAAAGAAGCACCAACAATCAAAGGTACTAATCCACAATATCTTATTGAAAAAATTATTCGATCTCGAGTATATGATTCGAGATATTGGAAAGAAGATTGTTTTGCACTTACTGGTAAGAGGAAAATTTTCATTTATTTAAAAAAAAAAAACAACAATTTTTTTTCTTTTTAGCTGAATTAGTTGTTGATAAAGCTGTTGAATTAAAATATATCGGTGGTGTTTGTGGTGGAAATATTCGTCCGACACCATTTTTATGTTTAGTTCTTAAAATGTTACAAATTTGTCCAGAAAAAGATATTATTGTAGAATTTATTAAAAATGAAGAATTTAAGTAAGTACTTACGAAAGATTTACATTTTATGAAAACTCGTTTTCCTAATAGTTTTATTCGAACATGAGAACGAAAACTATGTGTTCAATAATTATTAACTTTTCAAAGTTAATCAAAACTCAACATATATACAATACTTGAGATTTAACAAATAACTTGCTTACGCATGGCGATTACTGTATCATCGAAATATTGAGTAATAATCTTACCAACAGTTGACTGTTTAATGGATAAATACTTAGGGTTGGGCTAATGTAGCAGGAATACACATGACTTTTCTAGTAAGTGTATAAGAGATTGAATCGTCTTCCTGCAGAAAATTATCAGTTTCTTTTGTAACTGATTTTTATGTTGAATAATAAGCTTGTTTTCTTTTTGAATAAATAACTTAAGTCAACATCACCTAATTTTCGAGTTTAATGAGGAAAATTTTCTAACCTTGAAAGTTGCTTTTGAGTTCGAACTCTCTGATTAAAATAGACCCTAAGAAAGTATTTAAAACATCCAAAAGGATAAGGTTTCCTAGGCCTTTCCCTACAGAGCCACAGCTGTTTTACTGAAATTTTATCAAAAGATAGGTCTACTTGTAACTAAAAAGTTTCCATCACGAGATATTAAATTTTCAAAAAATAAACTACGATTCTTGAATCTTTCGTGGAATATGAGTGATTTACGAGAATTCAATATCTTATGAAGGAAACATTCTAGTTAGAAGTAGACCAATTTATGGGCAAAACAGTTATAAATCTGTAAGGAACGCCTAGGATCCGTCATCCTTTTAGAATTTGTGATACCTCAGTGGGTTCTACATTCTGCATAGAACCTGAACTCAAAAGCAATTCTCATGGCCCTCGTAACATTAGTCAAAGTTGTCCAGCTCAACTCAGGACGAATATAATATTGAGTAATTAACAGAATAATAATGGAGAGTATGCATATCTATACTAAGACATTCAGATATTCGGAGAAACATAGTTCAAGTTCTATTGAGCTTAGAATTGAGACACATTTATAATCATATCTAGCCTCTAAATTTTGTAGTTAATATAAATATCGCTACCAGGTTTAAAAATAGAGTAAGATAAGGATGACATTTCTTGGCCATCTGTAATTTTCAACAGTACAAAGTGCAAATCAGAGAATATTGTTCCTTATAAGATTCGATGGGATTTTGTATCTCATTCAGAATATGCAAATGATATCATTTTTGTAAGAACAACTGAAATTAATAATCTATGGCATCAATTTTTTCATATATATACATGGATTACCCACACTTATGTCTAACTTTTTAAATAAGCTAAAAAAAATAATTGGTATTCTTAAGTTGTTTATTACGGAAAGATGGGGCCTTTCGTAGGACTTTGATGTGTTCCGATCTAATTCTCTATTCAACAGTATCTCCTTTTCTTCTTCTTATATAAGAATCTATCCTTTCTGTTTAGATATGTTCGTGCACTTGGAGCATTCTATATGCGATTAGTTGGTACGTCCGTTGAAATTTACAAATATCTCGAACCACTCTATAATGATTATCGAAAGATGAAATATTTGAATCACGAAGACAGTAAGAATTTTTTTTTTTTTTTTTTGGAAAATGTCCTCCTGGCAATATTTCAATTGTTTTATAGAATATGAACTTTTACATATGGATGAATTTATTGATTTATTATTACGTGAAGAACGTGTATTAGATGTACAATTACCTCGTTTACAAAAACGAAATGTATTAGAAGAAAATAATCAATTAGAACCACGTCAATCCGTACTTGATGAAGATATTGATGATAATGAAACAAGTGAAGAAAGTGATGATGAAGATGAAAAGAAAGCAAAAAAGAAAGAAACAATACCAGAAAAATCAAAGAAAAAATGGAAAGATTTAGATAAACCAGAACGATCGCCATCACCACGTTATGCGCGATCATTATCACCGCGAGAAAAAAGTTCAAAAAAGAGACGGTAGGATGAAAATTTTTTTATTGAAATTTTTATGATAATTTTTATAGGCGTTCAAGAAGTCGATCAAAATCAAAATCACGTTCACCGGCACGTGACAGCAGAAAAAAACATTCAAGTCGCCATGAACATCGTGATAGAAAAGATCGTGATCGAAATAGGGATCGTGAACGTGATCGTGACAAAGAAAAACGTCGTCGAGATTAAACTTTTGATTTTCTGTACTGTTGTATAATTACATAAGTAATAAAAGATACTTGTTGTTTCGCATGAAATAATTTATATAGAATGAACAAAGACAAAAACGCTTACAATGTTTTGACGTGAGGATGGGGCGTATGCAAGGTTTTAGAGGAATACTTCTTTTATCCATCAGTGCACATGTATTATCAAATTCTGTTGTCTACCATAGGAGAAAATTGAATTGTAAAACTATAGATTTCACATTTTTTAAGGAAATCTTCCTATATCAGAATTTAAATCACGTAGACTCAAGCTAAAACTAATGATGTGTGTACCGTTGGGCAGCCCATACCAGGTCAAGAATCGCTCATGTCTGTCAGGGCAATTTTCAGTGTCCGTCCGATTCAACTTACAATGTCACTATTAAAAGTATATTTCTTTTATAAAAACGGGTTTATAAATGTTGGAATTCCACAATCACTGCAGTTGTTTATTAGAACATTGTAAAAAGTTCATTATCATAGTGATCACGACTTGAATAAGACCGAACAATTTTAATGCTTTAGGAAAAAGCATGAGTCATAATTGGAATTACTAATTTAACCGAAAGACCAACTTACGTTCGTAGGTACTTCAACTTCTTGAAGAATATCATCTACTAACAGAAGTTTGACAAACTGTTTATTCATTTTTCAGCTACTTAAAGCTGCCTACAGAAATTTGAAAACATCCAGTTAAGATGTCAATTTTATGTTATTTTCGAATATAGATTCAAACTTTTTATAGGACTTCTGATTGAGGAGTTATAAGCTAACATTTTAGAGACGTCAAAATTAAATTTAGATGGAGAAAGTAGACGTTTTTTTTGCAATGAATTAAAGATGAATTTTTCTTGATGTTTTTTTATTTGATATTTTATAGTTTTAAAGCTTCATTGTTTACTCGTTTATATTACATATCAGTTATCTCAAAAAGTAAATACACATTCAGATAAAAATTTCATTTCAATGTTACTCGTTGTCGGTATCATTATTTGTTTCACACATATTTTTGCCACAATCGGTTCACCACCAGTTGTTTTATGGCATGGTATGGGTGATAGTTGTTGTAATCCATTAAGTCTTGGATCAATTATTAAATTAATTGAACATCAATTAACACCAGCTCCTTATATTCATTCATTAAGAATTGGATCGAATATTGAAGAAGATACATTAAATGGATTTTTTATGAATGTTAATCATCAAATTGATTATGCTTGTCAATTACTAAATGCTGATAAAAATCTTTCGAAAGGTTATCATGCTATTGGGTAAAACGAGTAAATTTAAGACTAAATTTTATGAATTGTTTTCTGTTTTGTTTTATCAAAGATTTTCTCAAGGTGGACAATTTCTTCGTGCAATTGCTCAACGTTGCCCTAGCCCACCAATGCTTAATCTAATTTCTATTGGTGGTCAACATCAAGGTGTTTTTGGATTTCCGCGATGTCCAGGAGATAATATAACAATATGCAATTATATTCGAGAATTATTACGTCTTGGCGTTTACGAATCATTTGTACAAGATCATCTTGTTCAAGCTGAATATTGGCAGGATCGTATGTATAATTATCATGAATAGACATTCAAGAATTGAGACTTTTCAATTAAACTTTTAACTATGCAATCGATTCAATTAGTTTATTATAAAATAACTTCAGTAGAACATGTCGAAAATCATTGTTTGTTTATTCAAAGTTTTAAGGAGAAATCATTTTTAGGGTTCTTATCGAAAAAGGCATTTTTAAACAAAGTTTTATTTGGTAACTTTCAATGTATAAACTCGAAACTTTCGAACATAAAAAAAAACTTGAACTCAAATTTTGTTTAAATCTTTCTTTATGCTTGTATGCCGAGAATACATAAATCAGTATGCCAAAATACATCAATATTAAAATATAAAAATTAATAAAATTAAATTAGTGTTCTCTATGTGCATAACCGAATCCAGAATCGATACTAATCGACATTCAGCCGATACTTTCACAGTTACAGTACGATTTTTAAACTTCTATTTTATATGAAAAAGTATATTACTTAGTTTCTTCTATGGATAGTAACAAAGAAAAAGAGATTATTTCAAATTCCACAAAAAACTAAATGAATCAGGGTTCACTTGGTGTCTTTCTGCTTTAGAAAATCCGATCGATTGCGCTATGTATACATTTTCTTGTTGTTAATGACACTGGAATAGAAAGCGGTATTGGTGTCAAATGTGAAAATTTTGGATACATACATAAATATTTTTTCTATCATGATAATATATGTTTACCTTTTTGATAAAATATTTTTCTGTCGATGTATTCAGTTACTTCACCATATGTTTCATTAAAAACGAATTCTTTTAGTAAAAAAAATATCGCTTTCCATTTCTATGACCTGTTTTGAAGTATAATAAATTGCTTAAGTTTTTATTCTTACGCTTTTTAAAATTAGCAGTTGAAAAAAAGTAAAAATATTTTGAAATGTCGAGTCTTTATTAATTGCCGGGCCGAGTCCCGATCCTGCTTGCAGGACATTATTCTCAATATATGTTTCATTTCTTTTAGCTCATCAAGAAGCAACGTATCGTAAAGTAAGTGTATTTTTAGCCGATATCAATCAAGAACGTACATTCAATGAACAATACAGAACAAATTTTTTAAAAATACGTAATTTAGTTCTTGTAAAATTTTTACGTGATACAATGGTGATACCACGTGAAAGTGAACATTTTGGTTTTTATGCTGAAAATGATACATCAAAAATTATTCCACTACGTGAAAGTCCATTATATATCAATGATTTATTAGGTTTAAAAATAATGGATCAACAAACACGTATTAAATTTCTTGAATCAGACACAGATCATTTACAATTTACTGATCAATGGTTTATTGATAATATAATTCCATTTTTAAAAGATTAAAAATAAAACAAAACTCTTTTTTTTTGCATGATTTAATTCATACACAATAAAATTTGCTAAGTATTATATAACATATATCCAGAGAATGTTGAATATGAATAACCGTATACTTGAGAATTGAAATTTTCATTTGAACGATAAGAAGCAACAGCTGCTATTTGATCACCAGTTTGACAATATAAAAGACAATCGATTGAACCACTTGCCCAACCCCATGCTACTGTTTCATTTTGTATTATTGCAACTGATTCTACCCAAACTGTTCGTATACGTTCTCCATTTCGAGTAATATAAACTGATGCCTTTAATACAATGATTATTATTTTTATTAATATAAAAAGTATTTTTTCTAACCTTAGCTTTCGAAACAGATATTGTTAGAAAAAAATGATAAAGACCACCTGTAGGAACGGTAAATATCCCACTCTCTTGTGAGAAATATGAAAATGCATCGGGCACATTTGCTGTTTCACTTAATGCCCATGGTCGTAGTATGGCATCGCTATTCTTTGTAATAAATAAGCGTCGTAATTCAGCATAAAATGAAGGTGGACGTTCCATAAAACCATCACGACCTATGAGCAATAGATTATATGAAAACAAACTAAATTATATAAATTTATGTTCTTACCAGGAGGACCTGTTAAACCTTGTGGACCCCTTGGTCCAGGCAGACCTCAAAATAACAAGAGATCTTGATAAAAAAAAATAACAGTCTAAATTCAAGATTTACCTGTTGGTCCTGGTGGTCCTCGTAAACCGGGTAGACCTTCAACAGCTATCGATAAATTTTCCGATCTTTCTATTTCAATAGAAAACAAATTGATTGCATCGAATCAAATGATTCTGTTTGATCTCACCTCCACATTTCAATTCTGCAAAACATCCACGTGTACGTTTACTACGTTTATCTACCAATACAGCTTCGGCAAAAACGAGCATTAAAAAAATGCTTAAAATTAATGTATTCCATGTCATCGTAGAAAACTATTACTTGCAATGTTGCAAAAACAGACCGAGTTTACTTTTTTTTCTGCTCCCCACTCAATTTGATTCAAGTGGAGCTTTTTCCGTTATACTTCTATTAATGTATCGATACGGGAAAAAAAGATCGGAAATGATTCAATTGAGATATTGATTATGATATGATGTCGGGGGTAAAACTGAATTGTAAAGATAGTTTAGTTAACAATAGTTCATTGATTCTATGTTTGAGACCTTCGTTTTTATTCTGCTCAATGTTGCTGCCTTTTCACAAAAAAAATATAATAAAAGAAAAGAATGAATGAAAATGAATGTTCACATTCACTAGTCGTAATCATCGTACAATTGATTAGTGTTTCTAGTTCGTTCATAATCTAAATAAATAAATAAATCTTACAGAAAAAAAAAATTTTCAATCAAAATAAATATACTTGATCTATCACGATCATCATTATTGTTTGGCATATGATTATTCATAGATCGTTCATTTGGATCTGATCTATAAGATTGATCTCCTGTTGAATCGGTCGGTTGATGTCTTACTTGCACTTTAGCGTATTCAAGAGCCTTTCAAACAAAGAGAAAAAAAATATGTGTGCATTATTATTTTTATCGTTTATAATGTATGTACTCGTTCTCTTCTTGACGATTTTTCAGGATCATGATCGCTGTTACTTAAATGCCATGGTTCTCGAGCGTCCATTTCACGTGGTGGTATATGCCGCGTTCCTGGATTATCTACCATTTGTCTTTCAACTAATGATCCATATTCTTGACGCTTTTTCGCACGTTCTTTCTAGGTGAATAATTAAAAAATGATTTTGATAATAAAAAATAAAGAAAAAACTATAACTCTACTCGATCAATAACTGCTTCATTAGTGTCACCAAATGGATTTGGATTATTTAGTTTTTGTAAATCTCTATAGTCTTTTAATGTATATTTCTTATATGGAAAATAATAACCTTGTGCATCACGTACAACACGTCTTCGTTGATTTTCTAGATAACTATCTATAGGAAACAAAAATTAAGTTAACAAATAATAAAACTAATTTAATTTCAATTAAAAAACCTGCTTTCATCCATTGTTGAGAATAAAGAACATCATGAATAGATGGTTTAAATTTTCTTTTTAAATAATCATTTCGTTCTTGACGCCAATATTCAAGCATCATGTCACGACCATTATAATACTGTGGTGGATAATATCCTGGCGGCCAAGGTGGATGCATATTTTCTTCCTCATCACGACGACTTTTTCGACCACCATGATCATTATGTTTATTTTTATTTCGACTTTTTCGTGATAAACGACTTTTAGCACCATCATCTCCTTCAGTTTCATATCCAGTTGTGCCACCATTATTTTCTTCATGATCACCATGGGCTTCAGTTTTCTCTGTATGTCGTTTTGGTTTAACTTTTCGTTTTTCATAATCAAAAAATGGATCGTAAGCATCATGATAAGGTGGTAGATAGGGTGGAATATCATCGGCACCTCCATACAAATGATGATGACCATATGGACCATAATAAGGATCATAAGGTGGAAATCCCTCGTGATGTGGATATCGTCCTCTTAGAGGATGTCCTGGAGGTAATGGATAATCCATATAAGGATCGTGATATGGTGGCATTCGACCATGACGAAGTGGAGGAAGATGTGAATGTTTATCAAGATGAGTATCAGAAAACGTTGCTCGTTTTTGAGATTTACTTCGATGATGTGTATTAGTATTATCATCAGCTGAACTTTTATTATCTTCTGTTTGATTTCCATCACGACGACTTTGACGTTGTTTTGGTAATGAATGAGATTGTTTTTTGTTACGAGTCGGTTTTTCTTTTTTAGTTTGTTGAAGATCTATTTTAGGACTTTCGTGTTGAGGTTTTAATTTTGTTAATGTAGTTTTATTTTCACTTGATGGAAAATATCGATCTTGACGTTTTTGTTCGAGAGTTTTTTCTTTTTTTTGTATAGCTGCAGCTCGCATTTGACTTGATTTCGTAGGTTTTAATTCTTGTAGAAGACTAGTTGTTTTCAGGGATGTTTCAGATGCATAATTGTTATCACCATTCGATGGCAAATGATGAGGAATAGGAGGTGATGCACGAGATTTTGGCATTTGTTGCTCAGATCGAGTCAAATTTGATTGAAGTGGTGGCTGAGATTTATGCTGTTGCTGCCGTTGTTGTTCTTTAGGAAGACGATTTGAGACTTGATGTTCTGATCGAATGAGTTGTGTTTGAGATCGCTGATACTGATTATCGATTGAAACTGGTGGACGTTGTTGTGTTGTGTCAGCATATGAATTCTAATTACATAAATTGTGTTTAAATATTTTTAAATATGTTAATTAAAAGGTGTACAGTTTTTTTCAGATAATGTTTCTTTAATGATACACTACATATGAATTTATCGAAAAAGATTTTGTTAAACGAGAAAATTTTTCTTATGTCATTCTATTAAAAATAAATATTTAAAGATTTTCTAGATCTTTTCTTGATGCTAAACATATTGATAACAATCATCAATAGGATAAAAGTCGCCATGGCTAACGAGAGAACGTCTTCAAAACATGCATTACTTGAACACTTCATATCTCGATGAGATTTTGTTCGACACTTCGCAAGTTTTTTTATGGAAGTGAATCTAGTTGAGTTCTCCATGTGCACAAAGTTTCAGATAAAAATTCGAAAAGATGAGTTTTCCGAAAATCTAGAGCTTCTAAAAAATAGATTGTGTTTTATCCAGGGAGATGTTCGAGAGGGCAGCGGTGCTTCACCCAGAATCGAGTCCGCTCTCCAGAGTCAGGGATTAATATCATGTGAAGTACATAGAAGACTCCTGCGAGGATAGAAACTGACCTCCTTGAAGTTTCAAACACTCCCACCCCCTTCCCCAGGAGTAAAAATTCCGCATAAAACACTGGAAATAGATATATTAAAAATTCGATAATTTAGTCAAATCTCAATAGAAATCTAAAAGTCCTGTTAACGTTTTTATTAGAGCTTTATGTAGTATCTATAAGCAAAACAATCATTGATGTCAGAGAAGGAGAACTGAAGGGGTTCCCTCATAAGTGGCTACGTTGTTCGACACGTGCTCATAAGATACTACTTTGCAAACCTCAATATTACCATTCTTTGAATGACCCTGAGCAAGTCACTGGTGATCCTTTGCCTTGGGTCATTTATTCCATAACATGTTGACTAAGTTATTACTGGAAATATGTGGAACCAGAACTTAAATTTATAGTAAAATACTCTGTAGTTTTAAGCAAATTATTTCATAAGGCTTTTGAATCAAATCATAATTCAAGAGAGATGACCCAAGAAGTGGTAGTCATCAACTAAATAGTTTAAAGAAAAAGAGCATTGAAGAATTATTCTAGATATGATATGAATAAATTTTGGAACACTTTTCATTAGACTTGGATAGGTCCCCTTAGAAAAAAGTTGCCGGAATAAAAGAACTTTGTCTCGTACATCTCTTGTTGTGACATACACCTGCTCTTGTGGCTAGTTAATGTATATGGGGAACTCAAGAACTCTGTGTCAGATTGGTTTTCTGTTCAGAGATAAAGCTAATATTAGTTTTAGAGAAGATACCGGGTTATTGAATCTACCACTAGACAGTATCTAATACCTTGAGGTAGCTGAAAGGCAGATGTAGTCTTCCTTAATGTCTAATTTCATTGCTTTTTTGTGATTAAAGATTAAATTGAAGACCATCTATCTTTGTAATGAAAAGTTAAATTGATACTAAAGGAAAACATTTGCCATTCATGTATGTAAATTGAGTGGAAGTTATTTTAATTTTTCTTTATAACAGAAATTCTTTGAAGATTTTGATTCATATTGAAAATTTTCTACAATTTATATGTTCTTAAACATTTAGTATGATATAAAATACTGCTATTATAATCTTAAAATTAGCATTTTCTAACATAAAAATGATCTAAGAAAATGAACGACTTTAAAGTTCACTTTTGCAATACTTTCTTATGGCAAAAATCTACCTGTTGATGGTTTTTAGATTCCACTTGTTGATTATTTATGTTCTTTTTATATGATGTTTGCGTAGTACTTGCCATACCATTACTTCCGGTATTATTATTATTCGTATCTATTGGTCTATAATCAGTTATAGGTACTTGTGAGTTCGAATAACTATTCATTTTTGTTTGTTGATTATCAACAGGAACAGTGCCATAACTATTTGTTTCATATTGATATGGATGTGAAGTTAATGATCCAAAACCTCCATCATATGTACCTAGAAAAGGCATATTTATTTAATAAATTAAATTTCACAATAAAGTCTTTACTGTAAATAGTTGAATGGTATGGATCTTGTTTAGATCCAAACTCAGTATATGTACTAGAAGGTAATGTTGAATAAGATGTAGCAGCCATTAGTAGTCAAATAGAATGACGAATAACAAAATTGAAGTATGTGATGATGCCATTTGGTTAGAAAAATAGAAGTGGTTGTGAATACAACAAAAGAATGTCTTTTAAACAAATACAACGACAAAAAAAAAGAAGCAAAAAATACAGAATATAACGACAATAGAAAAGAAGTTGCTTTTATTTACTTTATTCATCAATATTTATTGACAAGAGTGAACAAAGATAGGCATGGTAATGGCAAAAAACAAAAGAAAAAAGAAAATGAATGTCGTCAAACGTAAATAAAGAATAGCTAAATTTCATTGCGCACCTTTTTTTCTTCAATTCTATCAATTGAGTTTTGTTATATAAAATGTTATTATCATTTATTTTGAAAAGTTCAAAAGAAAAAATAATATTGAATTGACTTTACTAAACAGTATCTGTTTTTCTTTTGACAACTATAGTTCATTAAATAGAAAGTTAACATAAAATAGGACAATGTGAATGAAATTTAAGCGTAGTTGGCTTCTCTTGACATTTATTATTCAAAGACTTGACGACGAACAACGATGTAAAGAAATATTTTTTTAAGCGATTTAAGTATAATCATTAAACTTAGATCAATATAAACAAATAAAATCGATTCAATTTTTATAGAAAGTCTAATTATTTACTGTAAATAATTATATTTTCAATAATTGATTGAAAATTATTACTTATTTCTTTGAGACGAACTGATGTCTATATGAATACATTTTAAACAAACACTTTTTTGTATCAATACGATGTTATATTAATGAATAAAGAATTGAATCAAATAATGAAGAAATATGAATTTTTTTTCTCATTTGAATTGTTTATTATTTTATTAATTTAAAATAATTGTAGAAGAGTTAGCTGTGCGAGAAAATTTTGAATAAATTATACAAAAAAACCTGATAGTGCAATCCTTCGAAGATTAAGATATGAAATACGACGTAGTTGTTGTTGCTAATTACAGGATATTGCCTTATTCTATCCATTTTAGAACAGATTTCTTCATTATCCTTTTACTTAATCTTCTAGAAATAAAATACAGAGGTAGTTCATATATTAGAACAAGACATTATTGATATACAGTCTCTGATTGCATGTTAACAACGTCTATCACAATTTGTGATGTGGGAAAGGAAGTGTTATACATAGGTGTCTGTCACGATCTATGACAGTCACTGACTAGTAGCAACGTTCATAGTCTGTGATAGTCTGAGATGAGAGTCAAGATATCTGTCTTCCACATTCGTTTTAGATCGTGTTTCACAAAACTTAATTCGTTTGGATGAGTTTATATTGGATTTAATAATGCTAACACTCATATGAGTTCTTCTCTTGAAAAATACTCCGATATTGATTATAGAACGGCTTTCCATTTTCAGTCGATGAAAGAAGTAAAATAAAAATATTCAATATATTCTCTCTGACTTGTATGTGATGAGGAAGTATTATTGAGACCATATATAACAGAAATAAATAGGATCTCATAGATCTCGAACTTCCCGTTTCGAAACATTTGATCGCGATTTTAAACCATATCGATAGTTCGAATTCACAATAACAAGAGTAGGGGCCATAGGAGCATCGATTTAGAGTCCAACAGTCATGTTACCTGACAGTACACAGTAACCAACAAACCAAAAGAACTATTTAAAATGGAAACAATTTTGATTTCGTAGCAATATCACAGACCAATTTTCGTAAATACACATTGTTCGTTTAGTGTATGAGTGGTATCACCAATAAAATTTTGTGCAGAACTACATGGAAGACTAGAAAAAATTTTTCGCCTTTTATATCTTATGCACCGTCGTATTTTTTCATTTCTTTCAGAGATTATTTACATACCAGTTCCGATATGAATGTCAACTGTTTTGCCGTATGATTTCACAAATAAATACAATTTTAATATCAACGAAAAACTCAATGTAGAGTAAAACTAGCTTGACTCATAGTCATCTAAATCCAGTTCACACGTTCTGTTAGAAAAGGAACAATCTAATACTGCGAGAAATCAACTTTGCATTGAGAAAATCGAAACTCATATCGAAAACGATATGTGACTAATCTGAAAGAAATAAAAGGCTGAAATTTTGCACACAATTCTAAATATGTGTCACCATTACAATAGAACAATTGGGCTTAAATTATGACTTTTAGAAGACCAGATGAAAAAACTTTTCTCGTGTCCGACATATATTTGGACAACAAACATTATGTAGTAATATTCATATTTGCCAAGAAAAAATAGCACTGTATCGGAAATGCAGATATTTATTATTCTATGTTGATCTTGATGATTTATTTTTGCATCATGCTTGACTAAATCACATACATAAATCAATAGAATTCTATCATTACGTTCAAATAGATTCATTTATCGCTCGAAATCTTCAACTTTGGAATACAAATAATTACATTTAAAATCAAGGAGACAAAAAAGGGAAGATTAACTTGTTCGAAAAGGAAAAAATTATTTATCAACGTTTGAGTACATTTAATTGTCGTTGATCATTCGATCCTCCAACCCACATATCTTCAATATTCACATTATCAACAGTTTTAACTGCAGTTTTTAAATAAAATCCATCTTTATGGCCATAAACTTTTTCCGCATCTTTTAAAGCTCGTAAGACTTTAACAGCATGAGCGCCATTTATTAATTCTGTATTTAAAATTCGTTCAATAACATAATTCCAATTATTTTTTTCATTATCAATTTTATAATCATTAATAAGATGTTCATTTATTTCAGGTCGTAATTGACATATATATATAACAATAGCAAAATAAAAAAATGCAAGCAGAACATGTTCAGATATTTGTTGATTATTTATATGTGGATATATTATACGAATAGCATGCATAGCAGTCACTAAATGAAGTAAGAAAAAATCAAATTCAATATCATTTGGTTTATGTGTTGCACCATAAGCATAAACCGCCAAATCAAATAATTCTTCAATTGTTTTTTCAATATTTTCTTTATTCATTTTCCATTGATTATAATGAGATAGAATAAGATCAGTATAATTTTTAACAATCTCTTCAAGTCTATCAGCATTAGGTGTATCATAAATTGGTAAACGATTATCTAAACGAATATCTTTAAAAATTTCTATAGCTGATTTTGAAGGAGATGTTGGTGGTTTTAATGTATCGACAACTTCATGAAGATAATTATAACTAACAGCACTCATTGCTAATGCTTCAGTACCTACAATTTGACTATCTAATTCAAATGCATAACCAATATGAATAAGTGCATGTGCTAAACCACCAATAACACCATTAATTAATGGATGTTCTTGATTGTCTAATAAGAATTCCTTCAATTTTTTCTGCCAATCATTTCCACTTGTTGTTAATTGTTCATGAAAAAAATCTCGATAGCTTTTACAAAAATCTTTATTACCAAGATATTTTCGCCAATTGGAAAGATTTATTTCATTCGGAGATGTTTCATATGGAACAAGTCTTTCACACATAACTTCATAAGCTTTTTCCAGTTTATCATCAGTTGCACCCAATAAATAAAGTGAACCTAAATGATGTGGATTATGATTATGAAATTTAAGTTCATTAAAAAGAATATTATAATTTTCAAATGAATGAGATAAAAGTTTGTTTAATACAGCTCGACTCATTGTTAATCGAATATTTAACTTGTTTTTATAAATTTAAGATAAATAATATTATATTGCTTAGTTCTAACAGTATCTCGTGCTGGCGATAACGTGCGTTTGCTAGGCAAAGAAAACAAAAAAGAACATATTGCGTTACTTTTTTTTCGTTCGGCCTGATTCCTTGCTTTATTTATAATGTCATCAGTTCTTTTTCTTTGGACTTATACGACTCGTACATAAAGTGCGTTTTGTGCTCTTTTGAATTTATTTATTGTATTAGAGTTAACCAATACCGATACACGCATAGGTTTCATAATAAATTTATAATATGTGATTTTGAATGCATGAAATTATTATCCTCAATGTTTTTTGCAATGGAGAATCAACTCAATATGATCAAAGTGTGAACAAATTTATTGATATTATCCAAGTTTTTGAATAAATAAATGTTGAAATAAAGCAATCAAAAAATGATTTTTATAATTTTTAATATTTTCAGGAATAGCATTCCTCCATATAAGAAAACGATAAATGATTTTAATGTATATCTGTTTAAGGGGGAACCCCCACTCCGAAACCTATCTTCTAAACGATACAACAGATTTCGATGAAAATTTCAGGAAATATAAAAGCTAATATAACTAGCATTTGATAAAAATTTCAACCAATAATTTTTGATAATTAAGAAGTTATGCTCAATTTACTCATAAAAACAGAGCTTTTGGCACGGAACATTTTTCCGATGCAGGGAAGCACGAAAAATGTTGAACTTTGTTTCAAAATGAAGAAAAATCTTTTATCTAGAAATTGTTGGGACAGTTTTTTGAAATTCGTTTTCGTTCAATTGTAGTGGTCATTTTAAACCGGAAATCGCAAAAACTGCTTTGAGCTGCTTCAAAGATTTTCAAATATCTGAACAATGGAGACATATTTTAAAAATCTGTTCCAACAATTTCTTGAAAAAAATCTGATCTTTTGAATGAAAAAACATCAGGAATATACGTCAAAGGGTGGACTGGGAAAATGTTCCGCAGTGGTCAGTACGCAATAAAAACGTGAAGCTGAGAAAAACGAATTACAATATTCTGACGTGGTTCGTGATGTTCCTGTATAGAAAATAGGAGCATATTATATATCATTGAAAAGCGCATAAAAAGTTCTTCCAGTTGATGGGATTTTCGAGAAAAAATGAAGCAGTTTTCTTAAACTAAATTCTCAATTCAAGTTCACTGTAGCGCCATCTTTCCGAAAAAATAACCCTATTTTGAAGCTTTTTTATCAGATTGCAACACTCAAAACATGATTACTCAATAGGATGATGGTTTCATAGTGCCAATGAAGAAGATAGAACGATATTAGTCATCAGTAATTAAGAAAAAAAATCAACATAATCGTCGATTATCCAATGTGGCTCCCGGTCAACGTGCCAAAATTGGGCAAAATATGTTCTATTCTTACACAATTTATACATATTCTGAAAGAGGACAGTCAGGGCTACAAGAAGATGTACTTTTTCAAAAATCGAGTTTTTCAAGAAAAATCGACTTTCGGAGTGGGGGTTCCCCCTTAACGTAGCAGCCTAACCAAACGTTGACCGACAAGAGAACATCAGGAACTTCAGTTTTGAAGTCTGCTGTTTCTCCGCACGGGTGGGCTAGACCAGGCACCAATCTACCATTAGAACAAAGGAAAACGTAATAATTACCATCATTGACATTATATTGCATGAATTACTCCCAAAATGGTAGGGCAGGGATTTACCACTAGAATCATGCATCGTGACTGATCATGATTGACTATTTGTGAATTCTTATTGAGTAGAAAAAGTTCATGGTTATAGAAATTTCGTTCAATTTTTCAGCCGCTATAAAATTGTCTTATCAAACTTGAAGTTACCATCCTATATGAAGAAAAAATCCTTTTATAATCATCGTGATTGGACGATCGGGAAAGAATTTTCTCAGCAGTACTACATAATAACCTCACTTTTAATAAACCATTTTGTAGTGACAGGAAAGCTACACAAAATACGTATCGGTAGAAAAGGCCATGAATTTATTTTACATACTTAAAATTCGAAAAATAATCAATCACGATAAATCACGTGCAGTACACTACCTATCATCTGCGGCCTCTTGGCTACAATATTTTCGATTCACTTATAACAATCATTGATTATTTATGCTAAGAAAAATATCGATTACTCAAAGACTATTCAATAGAGATCCAATTCGACCTCCCATTAGGATAATGCTTCATCTGTTAATTTTGTATACACGTGATTAATTTATATATATATAACATTTAATAAACTATTACATAATTAATGTTATGATATTAATGCATTTCTTGAAATGCATAGTTTTATTAAGAATTTTAATAAAAAAAAGAAATATTAGGACTCTATTAGAAATAAAATAAAATCTTACTAGCTTAAACTGCATCGTCACCATTAGATGACGACATCTTTACTCGAAGAAGTGCAAGAAAAAAAGGGTGTGTTGTTTTTGTCTTTTAATGAATTCCTTTCAGCAAGTGGTAGCATGCAAGTAGCATTCGTTTATGTGAATAATGCATTTAGAGAACTATGTAGAAATTACTTTTGTTGTTTTCGAAGTCAATGTTGACAAAAGTGATATCGCTATATATGCTATTATAGACAATGTCAGTACATTTGGTCAAGGCAAAAATGAATGATTTTTCTTGATCAGCAGTGTATTTCGCCTTGAGACAATTGAATAATAAGAATAAGATCTTTCGAATCTGTTTGTATACAGTCAATAAGAAAGATAGACAATGAGCTTGTCTCACGGCCTACTTGGCAGATTCCTACAAAAATGATAAAAACTTAAACTTAGATGTCGTTATTTTAATCCCTGAATAGATTGCAAAAAGACTACATGCATCTTGCTCGAAGAAAATTTCACTCAAAAATAATTGAATAATATTAAAAAATCAAACGATCATTTTCGCCACCGAACGATTTATATAGAGCTAGGTAATATTTATTCTCTACGAAATGATTTTGCACAAACTATTAGCAGCTAATTAGAGTTTAGTCTTACTAGTGAATATGAACCTCGAATAAAAGCAAGTTGTCATTGTAGCTTTAATATAAGAATATATAAGAAACAAAATGAGTATTTCAATACTAGCTTTATTATCGAGATAATGTAAAACTTCGTATAAAATGTCTTCTACCATCACATTCTGATGTATGGATATCCTATCTTCTTATTGACTCTATCTTGAACTGGTTTCTGACCAATCATTTTTCATTTGCTGAATTATCTAACTAATTGTAGATTATAAATATTCTCTAGATTATCTATTATCTACCATGTAAAATGTAAATATTTTTTAAGAATGTATAAAAATCATCTTAATATAATTAAGCGAATATAGTATTAATTCTTATACGTGTGAAGCCTTCTTAAATATATTTATTTTCTTAAAATCATCCATATCAAGTACAATATAATTTGATGAATTATTTTGATTTGAAATAAGTTTTTCATTACTTAACAGTCGCTTAGATAAACTAACAAATGGTTTGAAAAATAATTGTAATGATGTTCGTTTCGAAGAATTACTGACAGAAGATAATTGTTCAACAGATGAAGGTGATGATGTACTAAAATCATTTGAAAAAGTCAATGATGAACATTTAACAAGAGATTTTTCATCAAAAATTAATTGTTCACACAAACTATGTTCTTTAATTGTATAATATGAAGTTCGAGTAGATATTGATCGTAATGAAAATACACCTTAAAAGAAAATATCATATTAGGTAATCTATTTAATAACAAGTAGAATGTACTTTTTGTATCCATTTCATCCCATTCTTCTTGAAAATTATTAACGAATAATGGTGGTTCATTAAATTGAAGTTGAGTTATCATTATTCTTTGTATTGATTGTTTCTGTAATTTATAAGGTAGATATTCTTCAATAAGTGGTGACATCGATTGTCGTGGCAATACAGCACTTAAATTCTGATTGATTTTCTCTACAGATTGATTTGTTAATGGTAATGTTATTTCATACCATGGTCGTTTTCGTTTGTAAATATGATTAATATAGAGTCTATAGAATAGATAGAAAAATCCACCGATGACAATTAAAGAACAAAATACGATTAAAACAATCCAAAGAGCTTTGAGCTTTTTCATATAAGCAAAAAAAAATACATTCCTTAGTTACTTATTGTTTTATTTATTAGAAAACTTATTTATTCAATTTTACATTTGAAATAGATAATAAAAAAAAGAAGATAAATAATTATTGAAAATTTAGAGAATGATAAAGCATTTGATCCATTACATTTCGATCCCGTACAACAATCAACATGTAGAAAAGTGACACCAAATGCAAATGTTTCATTATAACATGGTCCACATTGTTTAAGGACATATGTATAAACAGTACCTAATTTTGCTGTTACTTTCTATAGAAAAATCAAATAAATACGATTGGTTTTGCTATTTCTTTTAAATATTTACCATGCATTGTGTTACAGATGAACTACATGTAGCGGTATTTGCTTGATCATTAGCAGGTATTTCACAATTTTGACAATCATAGCAATCCAAACAAGTAGTATAGTGTAATAAAACTGCATCAAAAAATAGTTTATAGCGATAAAGATTTTGCTAAAGAAAAACAACATACCGAAAAATATAGCTATTATCAACGATTTCATCGTTTATGGATTTTTTTTTATTTTTTCAATGTAAATGTACAGTTTCAGTTTTTGTTTGTCTTTAATTTTTAAAGTAAAAAGCAACGACGTAAACATACAACAAAAGAGACGATAGAGTATTTATTCAACATTAAAGAATTACTGCAAAAAAAAGCCGAAAGAGAAAGAAGAAAAGCGAAAACATTCGTTCGATTCGTTGCCATTAAATACTAACTTTTGTTAATCGATAAAATAATAAAAATGAAAAAGTAACACTGGAAAATGTCATAATCAATTGATTAAAATGATTAAAATATGTTGAATGTTGACCAGTATTACAACGATCTGTATTACTACAACATTTAACTTCAAGTTTTGAAAAACCAAAATAAAAGCTTTTTTCTGTGCATGTTTGTGTACATGCTTTATATACATAAGAACCCATTGTTGGAATGGATGTGTAAATTTTCTAGACAAAAGAAAAATAGGGAACGAAATAAAATGAAGAGAGATTTCTTTCTTTTTTGTTACCATGCAAGGACCCGGACATGTATCGTTTGTAAATTCATTTAAATCAGCAGGATCAGCACTAGAGAAATAATAACGATATCAGAATGCTTTTGAATATGAATTTAAAGACATACCAATTCTGACATACATAACAAACAAGACCACTAGAATAACCTAAAATATAAAACATGCTGATTTGTTATACAACAATAAGAGCAGATATATGATATATTGGAATTTATCTACTGTCATTATTATTTTGATTGTTTACTTTAAGAGACCTTATACGTAAACTATACCTTAGAAAAAATGAAAAAATCTAGTTTTGCGTTGTTAATCTTTTTTTTGAAAAAATGAATACAATTAATTGTCTTTAAATGAACTTAACAATATAAAAATAATTTACAATCGCATTTAGATAGGTTTGAATTAAACTCTAGTATATACTTATAAACCAAAAAGAAATAAGTTTCGATGGATATCTGCTTATAAACTATTAAATTCATTCTTTTTAGAAATAAACAATAACAAAAAACATCTATGAATTCATTCTTAAAAATCAACTTATTTATTTATTATAAATTTAATCAAATGAAAACCATTTCTCAATATTTTACAGTATCTTATTTCGATACTCACCACAACAAATTCCTAAAACGATGAATATTACTAAACTATTGACAACAGTCATTCTTTCACCTATCGTCGTAAAAGTAAAAAATGATTGAAAAACAGACAAGTTTTTCTATACAAGACGATTGTTATTGATCGACAAGAGGCATTGTTTCTTTGTTTATCTAATCCTATTTGATGGTAAAAGGTTTACAACTTTTTTCTTTGTAAACAAATAGACAGATATGTTGTGCAAAGCAAACGCCTATTCGTTGCAAAATTGAATTTGCAAGAATGTGCACTAAATGATTTAGAAAGTTCAAGTCAATTTTCTCACACTCCCCATGTAGAAATAGGCTTTGTTCATCAAAATTTGATCGTTTCCACTTGTAAACATGACATCATTGACGAACTGACTAGATATTCTTGATTGAATTGATGTCGGATGTGGTTGAGAACACGCTGATCGTTGCGAGCGCTTCCTTGAGCTAAAAATTTTTACATTGTTCGACTTCTGCGTTTCAATCCCGAAGTTAAGCAGAATTACCTTCTGAAGTTGAGAATGAGATAATCTGCAATAGTTTTGACGTTGTAAGAATCATTGATTAGAAAATTGGTCCCATTTTATTTGGAATTTTCGAATTCTATTCATGACACTGAAATTGCCTTATGGCATGACTTTTCCTTTGTTCTTCGGAGTTCGCTTGACGTCGTCAACTCTTCGATTCTTTAGATCTTGGTGAATCAACTTTTTGAATAATTGGTGTGAAGTTTTACCTGTGAACATTCTTCGGTTTTAGTTTTGGTCTTTATGTTGATTTAGTCCATTGACAATTAATACAAACTCTAGAAAGACGTTATCATTCATTATATATTGAGCGTAGAAGATTTTTTCAAGAATTAATAACATCTCATATACATTCAATAATTTTAAAATATCTAACAGAATTCCCATTATTTAAATTATATCCAATATTGATCGTTGTGAATGGTCAAATTAATTATATAATAATAGGCAGTGAATGGTGCGTAAAATTGTCATTGAGAGTCGAACGAACTCTTTGTTCTTGTCTGATAAAAAGCTAAAAACAAATACATATATATGTATCCTATAACGAGAGGTGAAAATATGCTGATTATAGATTTGAATCTTCCATTCCGAATACTATTTTTTTCAAAGTCGATTGGTCTGACAGATTTACAAAACATATACAGTTTTAAAATATTAAATTTTTATTTTAACAGCAGCTGAAAATAATGTATGCACAGTATCAGAAAGAAAGACTATCGAAATGATAGAATTTACTTTTGCAGAAAAACTGCAAAAGTAAATTCTGTATAGACTAACTTTATGTTGGAAAATACTGATATTGTGCAATTATATTTTTTATCACTATTATATAGTGACGATTAACATAACCATACGTTGTTTTTCACCTATAGTGATATAGATGGAGAAGAACAGAATGAATGTATAATCACGTCATCGTATAGTAAAAAAATTCAGTCGATTGCATGTTTTAAACAGCCGATATATGTATGCTATATGAAAAACGAAAAAACATTCATGTGATTATGTTATTGGTAATTATATAATAGTGATAAAAAATGTAG